CAGTGGTAAATTGGGTGCCGCGGTGGCCGCGGGCGATAACAAGCGCGCGCCCATTAGACGATGGCGCTGCGGCCGCCTCCTCCGGGACGCGCCACGCCCCCTCGGCCTCCCCGCCGCCCCGGCGAGGCGCATACGAGTAGAGCGCTCCGCCCGCTCGCTCAAGAGGCGGACTCACTAGTTAGATTCTTTAATCAAGCACGAACGGACATGAAGTTGCGACTCCGTTTACTTTGTTTAGAGGGAGCCAATACAGGAGAATCGTGTGCGCATCGGCTTTTCTAAATGAAACGAGCGCGGACGACTCTGAGGGAATAGTACTAAAAAAGAACAAACACTGTAATTCGATGTTTATTCCCCTTTTTATCTTTATTTCTCTTTCATGCGAGCACTAGTGCTGGGAGACAGTTCCACTACTCCTCTTTAGGTATCTCTTGTATTACGTTTTGGGAGTATAGTGTTAGCAATACGGAATACGAAACGAAATCTTCTAATACTGAAAAGTATCCAATGTCTCTGTCCCTACTTGTATTTTTTAGGATTCACAGTAAAGCTGAACGTTTTGATAAACGTTATTTTACCATATGTATTATTTCTGTATACCAGACGTCTTTCATGACGATTTTTGAAGTAATAGAAAATCCGCTAGATGACAGCCCAATATGACAAGTTTTCGCTTCCCTGGAAGTCATGAACGAAAAAGCGTTCGACTGACAAAATGGAGCATCTGACCGCTCAGCACTAGTGAATCCTCCGGTCGAATCATGATCGTGAGAGTAAAAGGGCAAAATTAAATATGAGTCCGAGTTCAAACGCCTACACAAAGAGTAGTGTGTCAAAAAGTGTGAATGAAAAGTAATGTTTACCTTTTTCTGTTGGAAATATCCAGAAAATTTACACTGCAAATGTATCAAGTGTAGTAAACGTAAGTTACATTTAGCTGATTCATACTTATGGCATTGCTGGGACCCTACGTCCTAACAGTCAGAAATTCTGCAGTGACGTCAATTGACGCCCTGAGCCTCCTAGGCGGGTGGCCTGAGCGGGGAAAGCGGTGCGAGTATTCGCCCGCGATCGAGGGGTGAGAGTGTTCACCCGCGAGGGAACGGGGCGTATGTGTTTCATTAAGGGACGCCGATGCGCACACGATTCTCCTTTATTCGTTCTCTCTGAACCAAGAAAATAGAGTCGCAATTTCATGTCCGTTCCAACTTTATTGAAGAATCTAACTAGTAGTACCGGCTGAGTTGGCTCAAGGCATCAACTGATGTCACTACAGTGCCTCTGATTGGGAGGCACTAGGGTTCGAGTCCTAACGATGGCAGTATTTTCAATACTAGCTATATATCTAAGGAATTCAGAAGCTGTCTGCAGGAGAATTTCATCGGCCGGCTGCTCTGCTCACATAAACTTACTCGCACTTCACTACTACACATGCCGGGAGCATAGAGCTTGGGTGGGGGAGATTAGAGCTTAAAGCCTGGCTTGGGTGGTGCCCCTGTGATGGAAGAGACCTGAGAATGGTAACTGCCGCGAGTCGACGTATAGGTCGGCGTTGGATCTCGTCAGTCGTCGAGAGAAGGTCACCGCCACCTCCCGCGATAAAACATGCACAACACCTACGGGACTAAAGACTTTGGCAGTTGACGCGGCCGAAAACACGAAACAATCAATGAATCAGCCTAAATAGATCTTTAAAGTGTATCGGACATTAACGCATATGTCATTAAAGTCCTAAGCAACTGTATCAAAATACCTGCAAAAATAACAAATCCTATTTCGGGATACTTCTATTGCCTTTCATATAGGGTTTTCTAGAAGAATATAAGGAATTTTTATACTTTTTCACTTCAGTTCTTTTCTTTAACTTAAAATATCGTTACTAGGGATAGTATTACTTCCTTTTTTGACAAAGTCAATTATTTATTGAACTGTTGAAATAATCAAGAGCAATCCTTTTCTTTAGATGAATGTATTCTCATTCGAATGTTAATAAAAACTGAAATAGGTGATGCAGAGGATAATTTGAGTTGCAGAATGTTTTACAAGCATCACAATTTATGATTTTCGAAAGTTCTACACACTCATAAGATTTGTTTATTCACAATTGAATGCTCATTAGAATGTGCAAAAAATCATGATTCACTCTCAGTCCTCTAATTCTGGTACTTGAATTCATTTTACATAATGGTGATAGTTTAGTTTATAAATGCATTCAACGTTATTAATATTATACAAACGAATAAATATTACTTACAAAATTATTAATTCCCTTGTAGCAGTGGTATCTGTTTAACGTGTTAAATTGTAATAGCGCATTCCTATTAATAATAAAATAAATATGTTTAACAGTATTACTCCAGTACATTTATGATAGTGGGGTACATTTTGCTTTCTCCAACAATATATTTTCACAATGCTGATGATAAATTGTATTACGTTACGTTTAGTTATTAAAATGAAGTGTATCTAGTACCTAGTAGTGGGAGTAAATATTTATGTGTCATAAATTAAATTAATGTATTAAAAGTATAGCGATGTAGTGGTTCAGTTCGTAATATATATTTATACTATTAATTTTAATATTACTATTATTATATTTACAATATTATTTATTATTTTATTCATAATCCATGACCGTAATCACATTCATAATCACCAACATCCAACCATCCAGAATCCCAAAAGACTGTTACCTGTGTGTGGTGTTGCAGCTGGAGTATGGCGAGGACGCGTGGAGGCGCGTGCGGGAGGCCGCGGGCTGCCCCTGGCCGGTGTTCTCCACGCACCAGGTACGCACCCCCCCAATCCCCTGGACAGCGCGTCGTTCATTTATTCACGAAATGGGGGCAACATCTGAAAGATAGTGAGGATTTGTTCAGATCAATGTTTCAAAGTAAATTTCAATTCAAATAAAAAAATTTAGAAACACCGAACTTACAAACACAGAAGTTAAAACACCGAATGTTTGGGTTACAAATTGTACAAATAAAAGAAACAGCCTTTGAATTCCTCTGTTATGTGATTGTTTTCATATGACTGTGGCAGTGGTAGTTCTTGTTTTCTGATAAAGAGGGTATTGCAAATTCGATTAGATCAAATTCATTACTTAAATATCATATTAGGTCAAGTCAGTTTTGAAATTTTCCATCATTAGTAAATTTAGTATTTTATCTAAGGAAAGGATCTTTTAAAAATATTTAAAAGTAATTACATTTTAAGCTGTTGTTGATTTCTGTTCTGATATTCTATTCACAAATAATAAACACTTAACAAGGAATTATGTAGCTTGAATCTGTCTTATAGAATTTAAATAACTATTTCGATCCTTTGAAATTAAATACAATTATGTTTATAAAAATATTTAATTATTCATTATCAGAAACAACCATTTTCCCTATTTTTTACAAAGTTTCGACAAAGGTTTTTTTGGGTCTTTTTCAAGTACTAGCGTAAATATTATATCATGATTCACGTGAGAGGTCACCGTCAAATTTACGAAGTTCTTGAAATCGGACACTGAGGAAAATCTATTTCGATGAAAACCTCTTGCTTGAGCTACATACAGAGTAGGGAAAAACTGATGACAGTGGTAATCAATTATTAAATTATTTTGTGAAAATTAGTGTCATTTATTTCGTGGGATGATAGTAGTAATACGAACAGAGCTGAAGGCGCGTGCGCCTGCGTGAGCGTGGGCGTGCGTGAGCGTGGGCGTGCGTGAGCGTGTGGGCGTGCGTGAGCGTGTGGGCGTGCGTGAGCGTGCGGGCGTGCGTGAGCGTGCGGGCGTGCGTGAGCGTGCGGGCGTGCGTGAGCGTGTGGGCGCGTGTGAGAGTTGGCGTGCGTGAGCGTGGGTGTGGGTGAGCGAGTGGGCGTGCGTGAGCGTGTGGGCGTACGTGAGCGTGTCAACACCTAACGGACTGATTCATTGATTATTTAATGTTTTCGGGCGCGTTAACTGCCTAAGTTCTCAGTCCCTTAGGTGTTGACGTGCGTGAGCGTGCGGGCGTGCGTGAGCATGCGGGCGTGCGTGAGCGTGCGGGCGTGCGTGAACGTGAGGGCGCATGTGAGCGTTGGCGTGCGTGGGCGTGGGCGTGGGTGAGCGAGTGGGCGTGCGTGAGCGTGTGGGCGTCCGCGAGCAGGTGGGCGCGCGTGAGCGTGCCAACACCTAAGGGACTGATTCATTGATTATTTCATGTTTTCGGGCGCGTTAACTGCCTAAGTTCTCAGTCCCTTAGGTGTTGGCGTGCGTGAGCGTGCGGGCGTGCGTGAGCGTGCGGGCGTGTGTGAGCGTGCGGGCGTGCGTGAGCGTGTGGGCGCGTGTGAGCGTTGGCGTGCGTGGGCGTGGGTGAGCGAGTGGGCGTGCGTGAGCGTGTGGGCGTGCGCAGGTGTACCCCGACCCGCTGATCCCGGCGCTGGCGGCGGCGTGCGCGCAGGAGCTGGGCAGCTCGGAGGAGTTCTTCATGCGCTTCTTCGGCCGCTGCTTCGTGCGCTACTTCAGCAACTTCGGGTGAGTGCGTTAAAAAACCCTGCGAACGCCTGCGCGACGGCAAAGACATTGGTGCTACTTCATACACTCATACGTTGTTATGTCCAAAAAACACTGGACACAGGAGTTAACAAATAACAGTAGTTTATTGGATCTAGGAACTTCGACAATTTAAATAGTACCATAGACCTTCCAGTTAACAATCTGCCAAAATTTAGATACAACCAAGTTTGTAGCATAGTTTTTTACCGCGAGGACAGGTGCCCGTCCGCAGCGCAGTCACAAATACGCCAGAAGAGTTGTACCAAGGCAGAAGTTCGTGTTAGAATATACATGTACACACGCTTGTTATTCATATGCTGCTTAGCTCACTGACTTCCGATTACTTGAAGCTCTTTGATAAACACTACCTGATACCTATTTGCCTGATGGTACGACCTGTTGATCTGCACGACCCATTTGCGTGCAGACACGATTTGTTGAATCTCACGATCTAGTTGCCTGTAGGTACGACCTGTAGATGCACACGACCACTTTGCCTTCAGGTACGACTTGCTGATCCGCGCGGCCGGCCGCTACTTCTGCGACTTCCTGCAGAGCGTGGACGACCTGCACCAGCAGATGCGCTTCACGTTCCCGCGCATGAAGTCGCCGTCCATGTACCTGGCGGCCGTGGACGCCGGCGGCGCCGAGCTCGTCTACCGCAGCGCGCGCCAGGGCTTCACGCAGTACTTCATGGGTGAGCCCCGCCGCCGTCGAGGGCCTGCGCGCTGCTTCACTATGCGATCAAAAGTATCCGGTCACGTGGCTGAAAAGTACTTACCAGTTCGTGGCGCCCTCCATCGGTAATGCTGGAATTCGATGTTGGTCCACCCTTAGACTTGATGACAGCTTCCACTCCCACAGGTATACTTTCAATCAGGTGCTGGAAGGTTTCCTGGAGACTGGCAGTCCATTTTTCACGAAGTGCTGCTCTGAGGAGAGGTGTCGATGTAGGTCGGTGAAGCCTGGCACGAAGTCGGCATTCCAAAACATCCCAAAGGTGATCGATAGGATTCAAGTCAGGACTCTGTGCAGGCCAGTTCATTTCAAGGATGTTATTGTCGCGTAACAACTTCGCCACAGGCTGATGTATGAACAGGTGCCCGATCATGTTGAAAGATGCAGTGGTAATCCTCGAATCCCTCTTCAACACTGGGAAGCAAGAAGGTGTTTAAAACATTAACGTAGGTCTGTGCCGTGATAGTGCCACACAACAGAACAAGGGGTGCTCCCTTCATGAAAAACACCACCACACCATATCACCATTTTGGACACTTTTGTCCGAATACTTTTGATTACATAGTGTACCTCTCATCCCAGAGAGGCTGCGCTCCGTTAGATTCAGTTGAGTAATACTGTGATGTTAGATAGACTTAACGGTGTGAAATATGGAACGAATTGTTACTGCCTGGCGTCCGTTAATGGATTAAGTATGTCATCAACTCGACTCGATACGGAAGAGTTATACCTGCTCTTAGAGTATGAGTTCTCCTATTAAAAGAAAAGGTTTTTTTACATTTATATGGTATTTTTTCTCTGCTAGCGTTTTGGTTTACAAACCTTATCAATGTCCGTTAGTTGCTGTGCATCGCCCTAATGACGTTAGTAACTATTTCCAATTAGTTCCTCTTGTGCTGCAAGTGGTTGCAGCATTAGAGATATGGTGTGAAAGCGAGAAATGTTTGGTTACAAATATTTTTAATATGGAAGGCAAGGAAAAACAGCTCAAATACATTAATACATCGTAAATATCACATCATATTTAATTAACTAGCAGCCCGACTTTAATTTATTGCAAAATCTATCATATGCTCACTAGCAGATGTATGTACTATTTAAATTCAGTGGCGCATTTTAGCTTGCTTTGCCGATATACTTTAAATAATTTGTATAATTTTTAACGTGTAATTATCACTAAAGAATGATTTCATGCATACTTAGTTGCTTTGTTTTATACGTGAAAATGCATACCACTCCAAGTTATGGAAATTATCTTTTGCAAATGAACATGTAATGGGAAATTTCTTATAACGATTTATATTTTTGACATTCACTCCTGAGCGGTAGGCAACACGTTATGCACTAAAGTTCGGCGGGTGTATGAAATAGTTTGGTCTGCCTAAGAACATGACATGCAGAAAAGGTTGCATGATGGGGGGTCTTGCAATCAGAAGCACATGCCACAGGTTTAACTTCGTTATTTTTACCATCACATGTTCATTGACAAAACGTTGTAATCATGTCAATCGTATGAATCACCTCTTCATGCCCTTGAAACATTTATTACGAGTCTCCGTATATACGGTTTTCCCGCGTGGTTCGTCACGATATTGTGATGTAGCGACGGGCATCGGGGCGCAGGGCAGCTGTTGCAGATCGCGGAGGACTTCTACGGCTTCCAGCTGGGGCTCACGCTCTTGGAGGAGACCATCACGGAGGGCGCGAGCCGGCTGCCGGGCGCCCGCCGTGTGCAGGTGAGCGCCGCCCACACAACCAAACAATTTTAGCCCCAAAATACACCAGAAATTAACAATAACCTACGTTTATCAGTCCGTAGCCTAAATCACCGATGTCCAACAAGATAATACCGCAGCGGGCACAGTAGGTGTTTACTGAAATACTTTTGCACTGTCACTATACTCAGGTGCGCACTCCAAAACTAGGCCTGTCATTTCGGCGTCCGCGATTCCTTATATTTCGGGCAAGTGACTCGCCTCTGGTCGGCGTTTCGGATGCTACAATTGCTCTATACACCCACAACAAATTTAGAGCTTGAATGAACCACAATATCACTGACTGAGTCATAAACTCGCACAAAAAACTCGTAAAATCATTTAGTTCAAAATGCAAAGTACAAGGGGAAGAGTGAAATGACAGGTGTTGGCATTTATAATATCATCCAGAACTAACCCTTCGTGTCTAGTGAGACGTGTGAGGTTGAAAGATCTATGAAGAGCTGGACTGGATGCCAAAATCAAGAAAATGTGGCGACTACGAGTAATATTCGGTCGGATCCTCATTGTGTCAAAATTACCTCTTTACGTCGAATTCAATAAAAGTCATATTCAACAAAAGTTCTAATCCGTGACACAGAAACCCAGGCAAGTGACTGTAATCATGTAAATATTTTTCTGTGAAGTTGTATTCCTTAAAATTTTGTTCTAATCATGAATATAATTTTATTTCCTTGTTAATGAATTTTGCACTATTATACTTATTTTAACATAATTATATATTTGTTAATACTCTTAACTAAGTAAAGTAAAAACAACAGTGATTCTGGAAATTTTGTGATATTTAAGCTGAAAATAATTGAAAAAGCATTTTATTTATTTTATTTTTCTTTCAACTGAAATACTATTGCGACAGATTTGGCGCATGCATCTAGTGACATATTTTTTTCAAGCCGACAAATGAAATAATAATTTCGAATTAATTTCAATATCAAGATCCCTTAACATTGGCTTGCCCATAACGCAAATACAAATATTTTTAATTCGTTTGTGGCACGACGAAGTCTATTCACTTAATATTTCATATTTTCATAAATCATTTTTCAAGGGAATTAACAGAATGTTGTGAAAATAGTTTACTTCAACACAGCCATCTATGTTAGCTCACTTTGAACTTCAGGGCGTGCCTCGAAGAACCAACCGTCCTTGTTGACACTCGAATCGAAAACGACAGAAATCAATACTGGACCAGCTGGCCGATTATAGAGTGTTTCCTGCCGTCAACGCCTTCCCGTTTCATTTAGAGCGCACAGGCTCGAAAGGAGGAGTTCGAGAAATGAAGAAAGGAAAGAGCTGTGGCAGGGCAGCAAATCGCAGTGAACGCTCGGCCTCTTTAATGCTTTCTAGAGTGCACGAAGTAGACGAAGAAAGTTGAGGTTGTTTATTTTGAAAATTGAAATATATTTCAGAATCGAGTTTTATAGTTCGATTGAAATGCAATGTCCCTTGAAGGTCATAGCCTGGAAGGAGAGCGGGGCACTGGCATCCAATCAGGTGCTTTGTTACGTCTTAAAGGTTTGGTATCGCAACTCCCGATTTAGATTTATTTAGTCAAAAAGCAGTAAAAACTGTATGTGACGTATGGAGTAGATCTGCGCACGTTTTCTTGAGTTCTAGAATCCCTTCCCATCATTTTAACTAACATTTTCACTTCCACTATAAAACGTCGAAAGATAAGTAAAAGCGGTTTTAAGAAAACAAACAAAATATAATAATAATAATAATAATAATAATAATAATAATAATAATAATAATAATAATAATAATATTTGGTGAAGTATCCCCCCCGTCCAGCTCGTGACCTTGAGAGGACACTACATTTGAATTGGAGTATAATAATTATTACTTCCAACAAATTGAGAGTAATGTCGGTTCTCAGCATATTGCAGTTAGCATTTTATTTAAAGTTCACAATGATGATTTAAACAAAGTTTGTTACATTTCTATTGATGAGTATTTTGATTGATGACTCAATTCAACGCAAGTTACTGTAATGCAGCGCCAGTATGTATGTTAGAATTGCGTAATTCGCGGATTTCGCATTGCTCTCCTTGAGGTTGTGGCCTCGAAACTCAGGCCACAGGTACCCTTTGTGCGTTTTGTAAGTTTATCACAGGTAAAATCACAATTGAATTGGTAAATAACGATAAATATACGAGATGCGAAGTGGCGAGGGAATTTATCTGGAAATTTTCGGTGCCAGAGTGATACTCTTTCACGAATTAGAATAACCTCTAAAATGTATAAGAATGGGCCAGATATTAATTATATTGCGTTCGAGTTCCAAGTGCACACACGATTAATCCATCGCATCATGTGATTGATTACCGTGCAGGAGGTGGTAAGAAAAAGTGATAACAAAAAGCGATAATTTTTGGGGGATTCACCGTCATGTTTGGTGGTCATGAGATGTATAGTTCAACGCTATTGGTGTTAATTTCAGAAGTGGAAATTAAAGTCATTATAAAATTTATTTTAGCCATTTTAGCCAGTAACTGTTTATATCAATTTGTAGAATTTCTTAAACGAAGAGAAATGTTATACATATTGTAATTGGTGCCTTATTTCGACTTGAGTAGACAAGCAAGTCTACTTGAGTTGAGAAGTTGTCCTAATTGTACGTGTTTCGCGTATATACATGACGGTTTAGATTAAATGCTTAGATCTTCTAGAACATGTGAGGAGATCAAATAGCCTCATGAATATCAATAGCTTATCCTTTACTAGTGTGTGGCAGGTGCACTTAATTTCTTTGACTACGTCACAACCTGCCAAAGGCCAATATACCATGAGTTGCCAAGCAATCAGAAGTCTGATGTACACATTAGCCTGTAAATTCTTTGTATTAGTCAAAATCAGTTGTTTCCGGGCTTGAAGGCCGTGGTCCAATGGACATTGGACCACAGCCTTCAATCCCGGAAACAACTGATTTTGATATGGAAACCGGCCGTGAAAGCCTACATTGTATGTCTTTGTATTAGATTCCTCACCACATGTTCATTGATCAAAAGTGATCATCTTCGACCTTCGTGTTTCCTAGAAGTTTGTAACATTTATTCTGATCCGTCATGTATATATTGTGACTCCCACAACGCTTCCTCGCTCCCAACTGCGGCACGCGTCATTTCTCCTTTGCCGCGCGCGTGCGCAGGTGCGTCTTCGCCTGAGCTTCGACAACGGCGCGTACGTGCGCGCACGCGCCGAGGGCGCCCGCGCCGTGCGCAGCCTGGCGCTGCCGGCGGTGCCCGCGCGCGCGCTGCTCGCGCTCTTCCCGTTCGGCGTGGTGCTGGGCCGCGGCGGCGGCGGCTCGCGCGCCGGCCCTCGCGTGCTGGCCGCCGGCGACAAGCTGCGCGACGTCTCGCCAGGCCTCGAGGGCCGGCCCGCGCGCGAGCGCTTCCGCCTGCGACGCCCCAAGGGCGTGCCCTTCACCTTCGACGACGTACGTCCGACCACGCCAGCCGCGCTCGCCTTTTGCCACTGTGTCTTCATCAATAGTTCTATGCCCTTCCCACTTTATCTTTCTGTTTTCTTCAATCTGGCTGTCATATAGTAGAGCAAGGAATGTTGAAAAGAACGGAGCTGAAATTGTAGGGACTTCAACCTCGAAAACGACCTTTTTTGGTTGGGCTCCATCACTCATTCTTGTAATGGATAATTAGTCTCTTCGCAAATCCTAGGTTTTGAATTCTCGGCTATCCGGGAGACGCCGCGTCGTTGGCTGGGGTGCCGACGTTTCGCCTGACATGTCGCAGGCTTCCTCAGGGCAGTGACACTGCGGCGCTACGCGTCCGGTGATTTATACTATCCTGCAACGACGCGGCGTCTCCCGGATAGCCGAGAATTCATGGATTCGAGCCGCGGAAGCTTACGTATAAATCCTAGGTTTTGCAAATTAGAGGATAGTTATTTATCTTAAAAGTGGTTAAAATATCATTATGTACTCGTGAATAATTAACAAACGTGTATAATGCACTTTATCTTAAGCGATCAGCTTTTTAACATTTTGAAGTTTTTCTTACTGTATGCTATTTGGTTAATTACATTATCAGTTCGGCAGAACCCGTTACTTCATCGGAAATAATAATGAGTAATCTTAACTTCTGCAGGAACCTTCATTTCACCTGTTTCGAATTCACCTGTTTCGAATGTAACAATGAGTCATACAAACTACTCCAAAAACGAAAGTACTTAGTATTTCAAAGAGATGAGAGAGAATAAAATCCTTTAATCTTTAACAACAAAAGTCATTCTCAAACATTTCAGACTTGCAATTCTTAGTATTTGGTGTCTTTATTTCCGCCGTCACAACTTTTGATGTCGCTTTTGTTCCCGGCAACTCTGGACCCTCGTGTTGTTCCAGACTGCCTAAACATCCTGCCCGAGATTGATCAATTAACACCCACGGCAGATCTGAAACTGGATCACTTCTTACCTTTGATACCTTATTTTCCTCAAAAGTGCTACATCCCAAGAACACTTCAAGCCCTGTACGCAATTAGATCGAAATCAGCACAGCCTAGCGGTTTTGAATCCGTCAGTAGGGCATATTTGGTCTTGTTCTTCAGCACTGAACGTCATAACAACACCATTTTCCTTGCTCTCTTTTATTTCTCATTTTGTGACATCAAGATAAGGATGATTCCGAATTCGATGACATATTAGACATATCTTCATCTCTAGTTCCACATTCACTCCTTTTACTGAATTTTCTTCGCTTCAGTTATTGCATTCTCTCTTCCTAATTCTTAAAAATATAACTTTTGTATCCATAAATTTCGTCTTATAATCTTATCTCTTCGTTTACGTCGTCTAATTGTTGTATTTTTCTATTATAATCTACAACATATTCTATAACATTCATATTCTATAACATAACATCTTGTAGAACTGTTTCTTGTAGTTGATTCTAGGTGATAATGCATTGACTGATGTTTTCTTGCACGTCGGTCCCTGTTACTGTAGTGACTGTTTTATACCGGAAGATGGCGGTGTTCCTCCTGTCCCAATGGTGATATCCGGCGTCGGTTTTACACGTCGGCTTGGGTGACAGGGCAAGGAAGAGGAAGTAAAGATCGCGTGTAGTTCGTTGCCCATTTGTTAGGATACTGCACCGGTATTGACCTGAACCCATAGGGAACTAACGACCAGAGCAACGAGTCCTTAGAATTTTCCTCAACATAGGGGCTGAATTTGATCTAGCTATTTGTAACTAGTATCGAAATCCGCCACTATCGTGCCTTAAATCGAAGATGGCAGCAATACTGACTATAAAATCGGCAAATCAGCCGATTTTATAGGCAAGTTGATCTTAAACTTCAACCATTATTATACTTTCTTGGAAAAACTGTATCTATTTTTTATTTCGGTAATAACAGTTTTTTGTTTATAACAATCAAGTATGAGTTGTTTTAAAATAACCTACATAGTGTTCATTGATTAGATATTTATATTTTTCGTATCTTTTATTCAGTTCTCGTTTTTCAATTATATTTTTCTGGGCATAGTCGCACCAAATATCTCTCATGCTATAAAAATTCTCCGATTAATTTAAAAAAGCTTTTGATGTTACGCACATGACTTTTCTGCTTGTCTTCCAGTACATAAATTCTTGCACACAAAATTATGAAATGACATGACACGTGAAGTCGACACAGCTAAGAGAGATTTTAATTTGAAAATAAATAGTGTGCGTTTATTAAGGTTGGTTTAACACTTTATTTCGTTTTGATAAATGAAAAAAAGAAACACATCTCAACCTTCTCTTCACATAACAACCCTACGAAAGCGAACTATAAATAACTCGTCGGTAAACACTGCTTAAGAGAGCTTTCAGAACTCAGTAGCTTGTTTATTTACGAGTTCGAAGAGTAAATAAACTGGAATACATTTTCCTCGTAATTCATCGAAAGCGGAAAAAGTGAATAATTTATTGTAGTATAATAACAAAAAAGTAAATTTTCGAATGGATCTGGGAGTAATCAAACATTTTCTTACTAATTCATTAATGATTTATAAGATAAAGCTCTTATACGCTACGAAACAGAAAAAAATACTTTTGTTTTCTTTAGCAATGGCATACATAACTTCAAGAATTAGATTAATTATTTTGAACAGTGTCAGCGAAATACTGTACAGATGTTTCTTTAGAACGAGTAATTTCACGTGCTGTAACGTTGTCACTTGTACACTCTACAATACCGAGTACACCAATTTCCAGAGAGGGGCGCCCACAGAAAACAAGAGACCTGGCGTAGTAGATCTCCGTGGGCCCCTTATTTAAAAGAAAATTCCCCCACACATAAACACAATTCATGTGTTCATGCGACAGATATAAAGCATTTGGAAGCAAGTACATATACGAAATGTTTTGAAGCAAAAGGATTTGGGGCCCAATGCGGTCACTGTCCGGGGAAAGTTGCTCCAGCTGCTCCCCCTCTCTTTGGGACGCCACTAGACCATGTCCTTAGTCTCTTTTTAAAAATAATACATTAATAAGAAATATTACTCAAATTGTATGGTAGTGTTTATGAAATTGTAGTGACGTGCTAAAAAGGTCTTCCTGCCTTCCAACGCACATGCAACTGAGTAGATTCCCGATCCCTGGAAAGTGGACGGCAGCACGTTTTGGTTATTTAACAAATTTTGAAATGACTTATGTCATATAAATCACACTAGATTTCTATTCTAGTATGTTCCACAGAGAAAAATCCGAATGTTTTTATCGGCATGGGTGAAGGAAGGGGATTATATTTTTAACCGTAGACTTTGTAAGTTTCTTCTCACCATCATTCATATCGAACTAATCAACGAATTTTAATGTTAAAAAATCACATTCTGTTTTCAAAAAGGGGGATATTGGTTAAAGAGGGCTATTTAAAATTAATTCAGCTGACACTAACAGGAAAAAGTACTAATCTTTTAATTAAATATATAATCGTCAGGTCTGGAGGAGAATTCTAACGGCCGTCTGCTCTGATCGGTAGTTTTCCGTGGTTTCTCCGATCAGTATCATGCGAATGCCAGAGCAGTACCCTAAGAAACGGGCAGCGGACCGCGCGCGATCTGACCTTCCTCTTTCTTGTCCTATCCTCACCCGTTGCACACACATTTATACTAACATGCACTACACAACACACATGTCGGAGACCGGTCGGCAGCTTAGGGGTTGCCCCGGCTGGGGCGGTCGGAGATACCACAGGGAAAACTCCCGCGTGCCGACGTGTAGGCCGGCGCCGGATTTGCTATCCAGCGGGGGAAGATCACCACCTCACGGGATAAAAAAAAACATGCGTTACACTTACGAAAGTAATGACCTTACCAGTTGACGCGCTAATGCATCGTTTGAGACTGGGCCCATAACCTTGCGTGGTGTGGCAGCTGCTTCTGCTGCACGCGGTCACGTTCGAGCTGGAGCTGCTGCGCGTGCCGGTGCCCGTTGAGGACGACGACGACGACGGCGGCGGCGGCGACGGCGACGGCAGCAGCGGCGCCGCCGCCAGCGCCGGCGGGGGCGACGCGGGGGGCGGCGAGGGCGAGGAGGCGGACGACGAGGCGGACGAGGCGCCGGCCGGCCCGCCCCCGCGCCTGGACGCGCGCCGCGGCTCGCAGGGCCAGCGCGCCATCCTGCTGCGCGGCCAGATGCGCCACGTGCCGGACATCGACGCCATCGTCTTCTTCTGCAGCCCGCTGTGAGTGAAGCTGCTTAAGCCTCCGTGGCTCGAGTTCATGTCTTCTAGGCTGTCCGGGTGAAGCCGCGTCGTTGGCGGAGAGGCCAACGTTTCGCCTGTCATATCGCAGGCTTCTCCAGGGTAATGACCAAGTGGTGAGTAGTGGCCGGTGACCTTCACTACCCTGAAGAAGCCTGCGATATGACAGGCGAAACGTCGGCCTCTCTGCCAACGACGCGGCTTCACCCGGACAGCCTAGAAGTCAGCTGGTGATCTTCCCCCTCTGGATGGCGCCGACCTACACATCGGCAGGCGGGTATTTCCCACCAGCCGGAACAAGCTCTAAGCTCCTGGCATGTGTGGCAGTTTAGTGTACGTAAGTATAAGTGTGAGTAAGGGGTGATGATAGGACAAGGTAGAGGAAGGAAAGGTCGCGTTCGGTCCGCAACCCGTTTGTTAGGGTACTGCCCCGGCATTCGCCTGGTGTTGATCGGAGAAACCACGGAAAACTACCGATCATAGCGGCCGGCCGCTAGAATTCTCCTTCAGACAGCGACTGAATTTGACCTAAGTGCCCCCTTCCCCCACACGCCTCGCGCTACTGAAGCAATAGGAATGGCAATAATGTCACTTTAAGTACATTACTTTAATTCAGTGGAAAGAGAAACCCTGAAGCATCGTGTCACGCTTATGAAAGCAGCTTTTCAACTCCGTAGATCCTCCTGAAGGCTTGTACGAGGTGACCAACCTGTGGCGCATGTGTGAACGACTACATGTGCCACTTTCAATCACTGTTCCTATTTATTGCTTGATTGTAATTGGCATAAGCTTAATTGAAACTTTATTATTCATATTTTTAACTCGAGCGAGATGTACTATGTGGTGTTCGTACAATACTTGGATCATTGAATCATGGGTAATATATGTCAATTATTAATGTTATTCAATATTTATAACTATAAATATTTTATTAAAAATACTTATAGAACTCTTAATGAGTAGAGAATAGGATGACGCGAAGTTTCAACCCAATCTCGTTGTCGATGCTCCTTCTCATTTGGAGCTCTCTGTCCCTTTCACTTCCAACCCCTGTGGTCGAGAGTTGCCGTTACCAAACGACACTCTCAGGCATTAGAAGTGGGATCCACGATAGCTTTTGTTCTCTCGTCCAAGACTCATCACGACTGAAGATCGAGGCATTTATTCCAAATAGCTAGAAAAAAATAAAAGTCGCTAACCATTAATCTTGTAGCTTTGGGGATTAATCTTGCTGATATTCTAAGGATTTGCTCACGAGATTTGCTCCTTACTTCACTGGTGTTGCTAGACTTGCTGATTTCTCGAGTTACGCACTACATCTAGTTATTTTTTCTTTGCTCTTGAGAGGTTACGATCTACCTTCGTGTTGGTCTTCTAATCTCTATAATATTTGTTGACTTGTATTATTTACGGAAAATTTACATTAAAGATTACTTATCCGATGTAGTCTAATTTTGCAATAAATATTCTGTGTATGCGAATTTATGTTTGATAATTGAATTTTTTTCCGCCGTTTGAAGGTCTTTTATTTATGTCCGGTAATTCTACAGCCTTAGTCTTCATTGTAACTCGTCAAACGTAAACACTGTGGCTGATTGATGGTATTGTGACAGTTCTGGAGGATTCCTAGGCGTCTTTGGCAACTCGTACTGCGATCTTCGTTTTCGTGTCGTTGCAGTAAGTTCAACATTCCCCCGCTTTTATCACAGAAGGCCGAAAATTGACGCCCAAACCGCCGAGGGCGACGGTCGAATAGCTATTATTTTTAGTTTTTAATTTATTTCTCTTGATAAAAGAGAGAAAATAAGCCCCCATGTGTCATGATAATAAATAAGAAAAATCATTACACAATTTTCTCCTTTAATCGTCTATTTTTCAGGATAAACAATTTGGACGAACTGCCGAATATGGGCTTGTATCTCAACGATCTCAATCTACATGGCCTTAGCCGAGAGATGGTTCTCAAAGGATGGCAACATTGTTCGCGGTGAGTGAGCAAAATTGGAGCTATTTTCTTCTAAATGCCAAATTAACATAAGTGGTCTGATGAAATTGTTCATGGCAATTGTTTGTATCGCAGCATTTTATATTCAAAGAATCCAAAACCCAAATTCCTCCTGGGAATACTTACTTTTCTTACAAAATGCCATGACAGACGGTGTAAAAGGACGATTCTGGTGTAAAAGGAGGAAAAAACCTTCGAAATACTAAGTGTAGCGGCAATTTATTATTAATAATAAGATTCAGAACATTGTATTTCCGATTTTAAATTACACCTTTGAACCGAATTTTGTTAAAACGTAAATCAGTTGAATTCCCATTTGGAGTGCTGGGTGCATTGTGGAAACTGCGCTTATGCCTCCAAATCGAACATTTGTAACTGAGAATCACAAGATTCATAATCATATTATTAACGATACGTAATAGGTCAGATGGAAAAGGGTGTGGCTGTAGAGCTTGAAGGATTGGAGTTCGAATCCTGACAGTACCATCAAGCAATCTCTTTTCCTAGCTTCCAGTAAAGAACCCAACTTCGCCTATTCAGTGTGCTATTTGTGGGTTGGTATCGAACACAATCAGACGTGTTTTTTGTTAATACTACATTATGTTATCATGGACTTTTACGAATGTTAGTGAACGGATGTGTAAGTTGTAAGAATTTTAAGTGGGTTTTCCATTAGTGCTTATAAAAATTACGAAGATGTAACGTGTGCCTGATCTTTCCTGGCTACCGAGGCTAGATGCAGGCCACATCACTTCCATTTGAACCCTAGACCTAGCAATTGTGATTGTGGAGGTATCGAGCCTCAAAAGGCAGCTTCATGCTGTTCTTGCGAGATGATTGCCTATTTGCGTTGCACAACACCAGCGCTGAAGGCGGTGGCGGGGTGCAGGCCACATCGCTTGTATTAGCACCCCAGGCCCATCAATTGCGCTTGTGGAGGAATCGGATCACGTTCTTGCGAGACGATTGAAGGCGGTGGCGGTGCGGCAGGCTGGAGCTGCTGTTCGAGCGCGCGGAGGAGCGGTCGGGCGCGCTGGAGCGGTCGCTGCGCCTGCTCGACCGCTGGAAGCGGCGCGGGGACGAGCTGCTCTACTCCATGATCCCGCGCCCGGTGGCCGACCGCCTGCGCTCCGGCGGCGGCGACCCGCTCGACACCTGCCAGGCAAGCCGCGCGCGCCGCGCCCCCCTGCCGCGCCCC